GGTACTTTACCAGTGAGATTAGCTCCACATGGTACTTTACCAGTGAGATTAGCTCCACATGGTACTTTACCAGTGAGATTAGCTCCACATGGTACTTTACCAGTGAGATTAGCTCCACGTGGTGAGTTCTGGCGCCTGGATCACAGACTTTCTGATTGGTGAAACGGTGGAGGGCGGGACATCGAAATGAAAACAATAACAAGATTTAGAGGCTGGAAAAGTCATTTCCTCATTAGTCCTCACTAGCCCTCATTAGTCCTCACTAGCCCTCATTAGTCCTCACTAGCCCTCATTAGTCCTCACTAGCCCTCATTAGTCCTCACTAGCCCTCATTAGTCCTCACTAGCCCCCATTAGTCCTCACTAGCCCTCATTAGTCCTCATTAGTCCTCACTAGCCCTCATTAGTCCTCACTAGCCCTCATTAGTCCTTACTAGCCCTCATTAGTCCTCATTAGTCCTCGTTAGCCCTCGTTAGCCCTCGTTATCTCACCGGTCTCCTGTGGTGTGTGTTGGAGGCTGTAAATCCTCTGTCCCTGTGGGTTATTCCTGTCCCTGCAGACACGCCCCGGACCACGCGCCCTGTTAGCATTCTGCAGAAGAGGTTAGCATAGGGCAGCTCCCAGAGTGCACCTGGGCTGATCAACAACAACAGTTATGACATCATAGTTCAGAACCACAGACACAAATCCTCCACAATCTGTGACTTTCAGCTTTAAATGTACAGAGTAAAGTTACTACCCTACTCTACTCTACTCTACCCTACTCTACCCTACTCTACCCCACTCTACCCTACTCTACTCTACCCTACTCTACCCTACCCTACTCTACCCTACTCTACCCTACCCTACTCTACCCTACCCTACTCTACCCTACTCTACCCTACCCTACTCTACCCTACTCTACCCCACTCTACCCTACTCTACTCTACCCTACTCTACCCTACCCTACTCTACCCTACTCTACCCTACCCTACTCTACCCTACCCTACTCTACCCTACTCTACCCTACCCTACTCTACCCTACTCTACCCCACTCTACCCTACTCTACTCTACCCTACTCTACCCTACCCTACTCTACCCTACTCTACCCTACCCTACTCTACTCTACCCTACTCTCACCCTACCCTACTCTACCCTACTCTACCCTACCCTACTCTACTCTACCCTACTCTACTCTACCCTACTCTACCCTACCCTACTCTACCCTACTCTACCCCACTCTACCCTACTCTTCTCTACCCTACTCTACCCTACTCTACTCTACCCTACTCTACCCTACTCTACCCTACTCTACCCTACCCTACTCTACCCTACTCTACTCTACCCTACTCTACCCTACCCTACTCTACCCTACCCTACTCTACCCTACTCTACCCCACTCTACCCTACTCTACTCTACCCTACTCTACCCTACCCTACTCTACCCTACTCTACCCTACCCTACTCTACCCTACCCTACTCTACCCTACTCTACCCTACTCTACTCTACCCTACTCTACTCTACCCTACTCTACTCTACCCTACTCTACCCTACCCTACTCTACCCTACTCTACCCTACCCTACTCTACCCTACTCTACCCCACTCTACCCTACTCTACTCTACCCTACTCTACCCTACCCTACTCTACCCTACTCTACCCTACCCTACTCTACTCTACCCTACTCTACCCTACCCTACTCTACCCTACTCTACCCTACCCTACTCTACTCTACCCTACTCTACTCTACCCTACCCTACTCTACCCTACTCTACCCCACTCTACCCTACTCTTCTCTACCCTACTCTACCCTACTCTACTCTACCCTACTCTACCCTACCCTACTCTACCCTACTCTACCCTACCCTACTCTACCCTACTCTACTCTACCCTACTCTACCCTACCCTACTCTACCCTACTCTACCCTACTCTACCCCACTCTACCCTACTCTTCTCTACCCTACTCTACTCTACCCTACTCTACCCTACCCTACTCTACTCTACCCTACTCTACCCTACCCTACTCTACCCTACTCTACCCTACCCTACTCTACTCTACCCCACTCTACCCTACTCTACTCTACCCTACTTTACCCTACCCTACTCTACCCTACTCTACCCTACCCTACTCTACCCTACTCTACTCTACCCTACTCTACCCTACTCTACCCTACTCTACCCTACCCTACTCTACCCTACCCTACTCTACTCTACCCTACCCTACCCTACTCTACCCTACTCTACTCTACCCTACCCTACTCTACCCCACCCTACTCTACCCTACTCTACCCTACCCTACTCTACCCTACTCTACTCTACCCTACTCTACTCTACTCTACCCTACTCTACCCTACTCTACTCTACCCCACCCTACTCTACTCTACTCTACTCTACCCCACCCTACTCTACTCTACTCTACTCTATCCCACTCTACTCTACTCTACTCTACTACTACTCTACTCTACCCCACTCTACTCTACTCTACTCTACTCTACTCTACTACTACTCTACTCTACCCCACTCTACTCTACTCTACTCTACCCCACTCTACTACTACTCTACTCTACTCTACTCTACCCTATATACTCTACTCTACACAAAGAAACTCATGATACAAACACAGTTCATGGAGACATTAAAGGCCATAGTGCTGTTGCACCAGATGGCGCTGATGAACCACAGACTAATCCTCAGTGATGTGATCTTGCTCCACATGGACTAGAGGCCACCCATGGTACTGCAGCCTACATCCACATGGACTAGAGGCCTCCTGTGGTACTGCAGCCTACATCCACATGGACTAGAGGCCACCTGTGGTACTGCAGCCTACATCCACATGGACTAGAGGCCACCTGTGGTACTGCAGCCTACATCCACATGGACTAGAGGCCACCTGTGGTACTGCAGCCTACATCCACATGGACTAGAGGCCACCTGTGGTACTGCAGCCTACATCCACATGGACTAGAAGCCACCTGTGGTACTGCAGCCTACATCCACATGGACTAGAGGACACCTGTGGTACTGCAGCCTACATCCACATGGACTAGAGGCCACCTGTGGTACTGCAGCCTACATCCACATGGACTAGAGGCCACCTGTGGTACTGCAGCCTACATCCACATGGACTAGAGGCCACCTGTGGTACTGCAGCCTACATCCACATGGACTAGAGGACACCTGTGGTATTGCAGCCTACATCCACATGGACTAGAGGCCACCTGTGGTACTGCAGCCTACATCCACATGGACTAGAGGCCACCTGTGGTACTGAAGCCTACATCCACATGGACTAGCACAGTGTCCAAAATGATTTAATTAGTCCTGCTGGACAGGATCTCACCATATGTCGAGTCTGCAGACTGGTTTTAAGGCTAATCTGGATACGGACGTGTGTGTTTGTGCTTTAAAAGAGGTTATTGATAAGTACAGAGGCCATAACTCGACAGTATTTATGTGTTTTTAGATGCTTCAAAGGCAAAGGGTAAATTACAAGAAACTGTGCTCAGAGCTGGTCCAGAGAGGTCATAAAGTAAAAGTGTCCAGGTCTCACTTGTCCACTCTCCTGCAGGAGACAGGACAAGTGAGAGACAAGAGAGACCAGGACACACGCTCTCTATCTGGTCTCTCTCTCTGGTCTCTCTCTGGTCTCTCTCTCTGGTCTCTCTCTCTGGTCTCTCTCTCTGGTCTCTCTCTGGTCTCTCTCTGGTCTCTCTCTGGTCTCTCTCTCTGGTCCCTCTCTGGTCTCTCTCTGGTCTCTCTCTCTGGTCTCTCTCTGGTCTCTCTCTGGTCTCTCTCTGGTCTCTCTCTGGTCTCTCTCTGGTCTCTCTCTGGTCTCTGGTCAGAACTGCCTGTGTTTTACATTGGACCCAGAGTCTGTTATAAAGATGAACTGAAAAAAATATTCTTTTGAAAACTATACTTTGGTCTGGTCCTGCTCTAGAGAACCAGAGAGAGACCAGAGAGAGACCAGAGAGAGACCAGAGAGAGACCAGAGAGAGAGACCAGAGAGAGACCAGAGAGAGACCAGAGAGAGACCAGAGAGAGACCAGAGAGAGAGACCAGAGAGACCAGAGAGAGAGACCAGAGAGAGACCAGAGAGAGACCAGAGAGAGCGACCAGAGAGAGACCAGAGAGAGAGACCAGAGAGAGACCAGAGAGAGACCAGAGAGAGACCAGAGAGAGCGACCAGAGCGAGAGACCAGAGAGAGAGACCAGAGAGAGACCAGAGAGAGACCAGAGAGAGAGCGTGTGTCCTGTCACTCTTGTTTCTCACTTGTCCTGTCTCCTGCAGGAGGTGCTATTGTCCCGGACCTGGACACTTTAGGAGGGGGCGGGTCCCGGTGGAACTAGAGGACCTGAGGAGGACTATTTTAGGCGTCCGGCTGACTGCCTGAACCCCAGAGATCATCAATCACATAGACTGGTCCAGGTCCAGGTCCAGACCAGACCCACTTTAACTATTGTTTTCACAGACAGGACGGAGTCTGTGTGAGACAGACACCAGCAGCAGGATCAACACACAGGACCATGAAACACACCAGCTGGGAAAGGTGGGCGTGTTGTTTGGACCCTGACAGCTTTACCTCACAGACAAAACAAAATAAAGGATCAAAATAATCAGAGAGAGACCAGAGAGAGACCAGAAAGAGACCAGAGAGAGACCAGAGAGGGACCAGAGAGAGAGACCAGAGAGAGACCAGAGAGAGACCAGAGAGAGACCAGAGAGAGAGACCAGAGAGAGACCAGAAAGAGAGACCAGAAAGAGACCAGAGAGAGACCAGGGAGAGAGACCAGAGAGAGACCAGAGAGGGACCAGAGAGAGACCAGAGAGAGAGACCAGAGAGAGAGACCAGAGAGAGAGACCAGAGAGAGACCAGAGAGAGAGACCAGAGAGAGAGAGACCAGAGAGAGACCAGAGAGAGAGAGACCAGAGAGAGAGAGACCTGAGAGAGAGAGACCAGAGAGAGACCAGAGAGAGTGTCTGTGTGTGCAGCTGTTCTCTGAGCTGCAGGTGAAATGACATCAGGATTAAAGTGAGTGCAGCTCAGTAATTTAGTGTCACATAAACACACACACACAGACACACACACACACACACACACACACACACACACACACACACACACACACACACACACACACACACAGACAGACACACACACACAGACACACAGAGAGACAGCTGCTTGTCTCGGAAATGACAGCGTTTCACTTCAGCTGCAGTAAAAATAGCTCCGACCATTGTAGCAGTTGCACACCACACTGAGGTGCTACGTCCTCACACTGAGGAGCTACATCCTCACACTGAGGTGCTACGTCCTCACACTGAGGAGCTACATCCTCACACTGAGGTGCTACGTCCTCACACTGAGGTGCTACATCCTCACACTGAGGTGCTCACACTGAGGTGTTACGTCCTCACACTGAGGTGCTACATCCTCACACTGAGGTGCTACATCCTCACACTGAGGTGCTACGTCCTCACACTGAGGTGCTACATCCTCACACTGAGGTGCTCACACTGAGGTGTTACGTCCTCACACTGAGGTGCTACATCCTCACACTGAGGTGCTACATCCTCACACTGAGGTGCTACGTCCTCACACTGAGGTGCTACATCCTCACACTGAGGTGCTCACACTGAGGTGTTACGTCCTCACACTGAGGTGCTACATCCTCACACTGAGGTGCTACATCCTCACACTGAGGTGCTCACACTGAGGTGTTACGTCCTCACACTGAGGTGTTACGTCCTCACACTGAGGTGCTACATCCTCACACTGAGGTGCTACATCCTCACACTGAGGTGCTACATCCTCACACTGAGGTGCTACGTCCTCACACTGAGGTGCTACATCCTCACACTGAGGAGCTACGTCCTCACACTGAGGTGTTACGTCCTCACACTGAGGAGCTACGTGCTCACACTGAGGTGCTACATTTATTTATTTATTTATTTATTATTTGTTCACAAACATGAGTTGAATCCACATCTTTTACAATTAGACAATTAGGTTTGTGAAGGGACTCCCATGAAGCACAACTTGGCTTATATATAGGGGCCCCAATAACATTCACATGTCAAAAGAACAGGACAACAAAATAAAATAAACAGTCTCCCACAACCCACCCCCCCACCCCCCCTCCCCAGTTCAATGCATTTTCAGTCTGCCAGTAGCAGTCATGCCTTACCATGTCTATCAAACATATACAGTCCGCTTCAACACACTCACATCAGTTCTGCAATAACATACAAGAAATGAAATGAAAACCTTACGTACGCGTTAGTGCTCATTCACTCAGATCTAACCGGGACAAGACCAAATAAAATAGTAAATGGTTGTCTGCTATAGAGGGTTGCATTATGCATAATGCAGCAGTAGTTTACACTTTAGATTCTTTTTTAAAAACATTCAGAAGAAGCAGTAAGGGTTTCCCTCTAGTGTTGTGACAGTGAGGGGCAGAGGTCACTGGGATGAGACTGGAGAGCCTGGTATTTAGTTTGTATACTACATTATACATAATGCAAGCGTTATGAAAACTGTTGCACTCAGTGAGCTTCAGTAGCTTAAACCTGTAAAAGAGAGGATCAGAGGGAGCATCATATTTAGACCAAGCAATATTACGAATTAATTTCTTTTGTAGAATCAGTAGCTTTTCAAGGTGGCTTGGATACGTGTTACACCATATTACATTACAATAATTAAGGTGCGGTTCAAATAGAGACCGGTATAGAGCTAGGAGAGCTTCAAGGGGTAGATAATGTCTCAATTTGAGAAATAGACCAACATATTTAGATAGTTTATTCATTAGATAATCTATGTGTTTTTTAAAGTTCAAGAATTCATCCAAATATATTCCTAAAAAATTTGATGTTCTCTACTCTCTCTCAAGAACTCTTCCATTAATTTGTATTTTAATACTTTCAATGTCTTTACAGCTTCTATTTGAACGGAATATTATATAGTTGGTTTTGTTTATGTTTAATGATAGTTTGTTGCATTTTAGCCAATTTTCTACATTGATGAGTTCTTCATTCACAACTTCTTCTAGACTGTCCAAATTTCTGTGTGACAGGAATAGGTTTGTGTCATCAGCAAATAACACCTTATGAAGAACAATAGACGAATTCATAAAATCATTTACATAAACAATGAAGAGAAGTGGCCCCAATATAGAGCCCTGGGGGACTCCATATTTAATAATTTTATGTTGGGATTTGCTGTTTTGTAATTGGACATAATGCTCCCTTTCAAATAAATAGCTTCCAAACCACCTGAGTGCAATTCATCCTCACACTGAGGAGCTATGTGCTCACACTGAGGTGCTACGTGCTCACACTGAGGTGCTACGTGGTCACACTGAGGAGCTACGTGCTCACACTGAGGAGCTACATCCTCACACTGAGGAGCTATGTGCTCACACTGAGGTGTTACATGCTCACACTGGGGTGCTACGTGCTCACACTGAGGAGCTACGTGCTCACACTGAGGATCTAAGTGCTCACACTGAGGAGCTACGTCCTCACACTGAGGAGCTACGTCCTCACACTGAGGAGCTACGTCCTCACACTGAGGAGCTACGTGCTCACACTGAGGTGCTACATCCTCACACTGAGGAGCTACGTCCTCACACTGAGGTGTTACGTCCTCACACTGAGGTGCTACGTCCTCACACTGAGGAGCTACATCCTCACACTGAGGAGCTACGTGCTCACACTGACGTGCTACGTGCTCACACTGAGGTGCTACATCCTCACACTGAGGTGCTACGTGCTCACACTGAGGTGCTTCGTGCTCACACTGAGGTGCTACGTGCTCACACTGAGGTGCTACATCCTCACACTGAGGTGCTACATCCTCACACTGAGGTGCTACGTGCTCACACTGAGGTGCTTCGTGCTCACACTGAGGTGCTTCGTGCTCACACTGAGGTGCTACGTGCTCACACAGAGGTGCTACATCCTCACACTGAGGTGCTACGTGCTCACACAGAGGTGCTACGTGCTCACACTGAGGTGCTTCGTGCTCACACTGAGGTGCTTCGTGCTCACACTGAGGTGCTTCGTGCTCACACTGAGGTGCTACGTGCTCACACAGAGGTGTTACGTCCTCACACTGAGGTGCTAGAGGATAACGTCACGTATATAATGGACATGTTTTAAAACTAACTACTCTACCCAGGTCTGTGTCAGGTGCTGTGAACCTAAGCCACCACCAGGGTCCAGGCCCCGGGGACCACCACCAGGGTCCAGGCCCCCGGGGACCATCCATCCATCCATCCATTTTCTTCCGCTTTATCCGTTGCCGGGTCGCGGGGGCAGCAGTCTAAACAGAGACGCCCAGACTTCCCTATCCACACACACCTCCTCCAGCTCGTCCGGGGGGACCCCAAGGCGTTCCCAGGCCAGCTGAGAGACATAGTCTCTCCAGCGTGTCCTGGGTCTTCCCCGGGGCCTCCTCCCGGTGGGACATGCCCGGAACACCTCCCCAGGAAGGCGTCCAGGAGGCATCCTGAACAGATGCCCGAGCCACCTCAACTGGTGCCTCTCGACGTGGAGAAGCAGCGGCTCTACTCCGAGCTCCTCCCGTGTGACTGAGCTCCTCACCCTATCTCTAAGGGAGCGCCCAGCCACTCTGCGGAGGAAGCTCATTTCGACCGCTTGTATCCGCGATCTCGTTCTTTCGGTCATTACCCAAAGCTCATGACCATAGGTGAGGGAGGGAACGAAGATTGACCGGTAAATCGAGAGCTTTGCCTTTCGGCTCAGCTCCCTCTTCACCACAACGGTCCGATACAGCTCTGACTGCAGACGCTGCTCCCTCTTTACCACAACGGTCCGATACAGCGACCGCATCACTGCGCACGCTGCACCGATCCGCCTGTCAATCTCACGCTCCATTCTTCCCTCACTCGTGAACAAGACCCCGAGATACTTGAACTCCTCCACTTGAGGAAGGGCCTCTCCACCCACCTGGAGAGGGCAAGGCACCTTTTTCCGGTCGAGCACCATGGCCTCGGATTTGGAGGTGCTGATTCTCATCCCAGCCGCTTCGCACTCGGCTGCAAACCGTCCCAGTGCATGCTGCAGGTCCTGGTTCGTTGGAGCCAGCAGGACGACATCATCCGCAAAAAGTAGAGATGAAATCCTGTGGTTCCCAAACCGGACCCCCTCCGACCCCTGGCTGCGCCTAGAAATTCTGTCCATAAATACAGTGAACAGAACCGGTGACAAAGGGCAGCCCTGGCGGAGGCCAACATGCACCGGGAACAGGTCTGACTTACTGCCGGCAATGCGAACACAGCTCTGACTCCGGTCATACAGGGACCGGACGGCCCTCAGCAGAGGACCCCGGACCCCGTACTCCCGGAGGACCCCCCAAAGGACACCCTGGGGAACACGGTCGAACGCCTTCTCCAAATCCACAAAGCACATGTGGACAGGTTGGGCGAACTCCCATGAACCCTTGAGTATCCGATGGAGAGTATAGAGCTGGTCCAGTGTTCCGCGACCGGGACGAAAACCACACTGCTCCTCCTGAATCCGAGATTCGACCATCGGACGTAGCCTCCTCTCCAGTACCTTGGAGTAGACCTTACCGGGGAGGCTGAGGAGTGTGATCCCACGATAATTGGAACACACCCTCCGGTCCCCCTTCTTGTAGAGAGGGACCACCACCCCGGTCTGCCACTCCATTGGCACCGCCCCCGATCGCCACGCGATGTTGCAGAGACGTGTCAGCCAAGACAGTCCTACAACATCCAGAGACTTTAGATAGTCAGGACGGATCTCATCCACTCCCGGCGCCTTGCCACCATGGAGGCTGCCAACCACCTTGGTGACCTCGGCCAGGGAGATGGAAGTGTCCGCCCCAACATCCTCAGCCTCTGCCTCCTGAACGGAGGACGTGACGGGGGGGATTGAGGAGAACCTCGAAGTATTCCTTCCACCGCCCGACAATATCCTCAGTCGAGGTCAGCAGCCCTCCACTCGCACCATACACGGTGTTGGCAAAGAACTGCTTCCCCCTCCTGAGGCGCCGGACGGTTTGCCAGAACCTCTTCGAGGCCGACCGATAGTCATGCTCCATGGACTCTCCAAACTCCTCCCAGTCCCGGGTTTTTGCCTCTGCAACGGCCCGGGCCGCGGCACGCTTGGCCTGCCGGTACTGGACAGCTGCCTCAGGAGTCCCACGAACCATCATTGCTCGATAGGACTCCTTCAGCCTGACGGCATCCCTTACTGCCGGTGTCCACCACCGGGTTCGGGTATTGCCGCCAGGACCAGCACCAGAGACCTTGCGACCACAGCTACGAGCCGCCGCATTGGCGATAGAGGAAGAGAACATGGTCCACTCGGACTCGATGTCCCCCTCCTCCGCCGGGACCTGGGAGAAGCTCTCCCGGAGGTGTGAGTTGAAAGTCCGTCTGACAGGGGGCTCAGCAAGACGTTCCCAGCAAACCCTCACTACACGCTTGGGTCTGCCAGGTCTGACCGGCCTCCTGCCCTGCAGCGGATCCAACTCACGACCAGGTGATGATCGGTTGACAGCTCCGCCCCTCTCTTTAGCTCCGCCCCTCTCTTCACCCGAATGTCCGAGACACACAGTCAAAGGTCAGATGATACGACAACAACGTCGATCATCGACCTCCGGCCTAGGGTGTCCTGGTGCCACGTGCACTGATGGACACCCTTGTGCTCGAACATGGTGTTCGTGATGGACAGGCCGTGACTGGCACAGAAGTCCAACAACTGAACACCGCTCGGGTTCAGATCAGCGGGGCCATTCTTCCCGATCACCCCTCTCCAAGTGTCACTGGCGTTTTCCACATGGGCGTTGAAGTCCCCCAGGAGAATAACGGAGTCCCCGGGCGGTGCACTGTCCAGTACCCCTCCCAAGGACTCCAAGAAGGCCGGGTACTCTGCACTGCTGTTG